TATCCTAAGAGGATTATTAAAGGATACCCATCAATAGCCAGAAGAAGATATATAAAGAGCCAGGCATGGGAAGAGGTGTGGAGCCTCCATTCCCTCTCCAGGCACCACTCTCCATATAGTCAGCAACCCGGAAGGTCTCTGAACCCTGTCCTTTTGGGGTTTTTATGGAAGCTTCGTTAAATGATTGATTAAATCATTGGACACTGGTGACTGACTCAACCTCCAGCCATTCTTCCCTCCCTTGAGGTCTGGGGAGTGGGACTAAAAGTTCTCCTGCAATCAGCAGAAACTGTGGTAAACCAGAAACTGTGGGTAAAGATCAAACATATATGAGAAATATATATTTTGGTCATTCAGATGACATATATAGTATTTTTATTATTTATGTATTAGCCATGCTGCACAGTTTGTGGAATCTTAGTTCCCTGACCAGGGATTGAACCCAAGCCCTTGGCAGTGAAAACAGATGCATGCTCAGTTGCTCTGTTGTGTCTGACTCTTTGCAACCCCATGGCTTGTAGCCCACCAGGCTCCTCTGTCCATGGGATTCTCCAGGCAAGAATACTGAAGTGGGTTGCCTTTCCTTCTCCAGGGGATCTTCGCAACCCAGGGATCAAACCCATGTCTCCTGCATCTCCTGCATTGACAGGCGGATTCTTTACCACTGAGACACTGGGAAGCCCAAAGCGTGTGAGTCCAGTCTTAACCACTGGACCGCCAGGGAATTCCCCAGATTGAATTTTTTTTTTAATGGTCTATCTATATGTATCTATAAGAGACTCACTTAATTATTTTTTTCATTGTTACTGATTTATTTATTTTTCTACTTTTTTTTCATTTATTTTTATTAGTTGGAGGCTAATTACTTTACAATATTGTAGAAGTTTTTGCCATACATTGACATGAATCAGCCATGGATTTACATGTATTCCCCATCCTGAATGCCCCTCCCACCTCCCTCCCCAAGGAGACTCACTTTAGGTATAAGGGCACAAAGAAGTTGAAAGTAAGGGGTGGAAAAATATATTCCATTTGAAAAGTAACCAAAAGAGAGCTGGGTGGCTGTATTATTGTAAGGCAAATTAGACCTAAGTCAAAACAGGTTACAAGAGACAAAGAAGGAAAATATTGATAAAATGTACAATAGAGCAAGAAGATGTAACAGTTATGAATGTACATACATCTTACAATAGAGCCCCAAAATATAAATATATGAAGCAAAAATAGAATTGAAAGGAGAAATACATGTGCTCTAATAACAGTTCAGTATTCCACTATCAATGATGGATAGAACAACCAGACATGATCAATAAGGAAATGGAAGACTTGAGCAATACTGTAAATCAATGAGACCTAACAGAGATGTTCAGAACATTTTATCCAGCAATACCAGAATCTACATTCTTCTCAAGTGGTCGCGGAACATTCTCCAGAGTAAGTCATGTGTTAGGCCACAAACAAGTCTCAATAAATTTAAAAAGACTGAAATCACACAGAATATTTTTTCCTTTCTGGTCATAATGGAATGAAACTAGATATCAATAAGATAAGGAAAACTGAAAAAAAAAATCTTATATATGTGGAAATTTAAAAACATACTGAAAAAAGAAGAAAAAAAAATACTGAAAAAAAACATACTGTGTGATGATTAATTTTATACATCAATTTAAAACCATGGAGTATCTAGAATATTTGGCCAAGCATTATTGGGTGTGTGGGTGTGTGTCTGAGGATGTTTCTGTGACAGATTAACATTGGTTTATTTCTTTTCACTCTTGTTTTTTTAGTTTTTGAGATTAATATTTGAGTAGATTGAGTAAAGCAGATTACCCTCCCAAATAAGGGCAGGCCTCATCCAGTGAATTGAATTTCTGAATAGAACAAGAAGGCTGAGTGTAAAAGGAAACCCCTCACATCTGACTGCTTGAAATTGAACTTTTTTTTTTCCAGCCTTTGGACTATGGCCAAAACATCAGCTCTTTTAGGGTCCCCAAGCCTTCCAGCTATTGGACTGGAATTTATACCATCGGCTCTCCTGGTTCTTATGCCTTCAGACTTGAACTAGAACTGCTCATTGGTGGGACTTCCCAAAGCCTGGGAGAACTAGATCCCACGTGCTGTGTTAACTAAAAAATACAAAAATAAAGACTCCACATGCCACAAGAAGATCAGAGGCCCTGTCTGCCACAACTTAGACCTGGCACAAGCAAATAAATAAAAATAAATTATTTTTTAAAAAAATAACCATAGACTGGCTCTCCTGGGTTTCAGATTTGCCAGCTGCAGATCTTGGGAGTTCTCAGCCTCTGTAGTCACAGGAACCAACAGTTTGTAAGTTCATAAACTTAATCTTTCAGTTGAGCTCTCTCTCTCCATACATACATGGTGCGGAGGCAGCTGTCTACCAGAGAGAGATGACGTGAGACTCATCTGTGATGAGGGCCCTCATGGGCCTGTGTCTGCGGTCAGAGCTGAGTCCTGAAGACCACAGCCTGTCTGTGTCCTCCTGATCCTCAGGAGGCCTATAGTCCTCTGGAATGTAGGGAAGCCGCTGCTCCAGTATGGGGCAGGGAGTGCTGCTCCCTAAAGGGGAAACCCTCAGGAACCTGGAAGGACCAGGCAAGAAGTCCTTAGTCCGAGTCAAAACAGAGATGGCAGTGAGCAGTCTGGAAGGCCCAATGAAGGAGGGAGGGTTTTCTGTCGCTGGAGGCCTCTAGGTCTGGGCTGGGAAGGCTCAACTCCTCCAGACTGCTCCTTGGACCGGCCTGGAATTGTGGTTTTATGTCTGTTTGATGCCCCCCTGTAAGAATTCCATGGGCTACACTGGCCCTATTTCTCTTGGAGACCTCACACAGAGAAGGCATGGGTCACCAAAGGTGGAGGGTTTGCCTGGAGGGTTCTGACTTATGAGGAAGGAATGCAAAGAGGCTCTGGTTCCAGCTCTATTCCATACTACTTTCTTGGCTTGGGAAATCATTGAACTGTGTCTGGCCTCAGCTTTGTTATGGCCTCCATAAAGTAGACTTAACTGACCATTTCTGGGGCATTGTTTCCACAGGTATCTGGAAGGATGGTGGTGATGATAAATATGATGGTAAATTTTTTTCTTGTCGAATTATGTTCCTTGGGGTATAACTTATTTTTGTTTGTTTTTAAATTTGTTTGTTTTTAATTGAAGGATAACTGCTTTACAATATTGTATTGGTTTCTGTCATACATCAACATGAGTCAGCCATAGGCATACATATGTCCCCACCTTCTTGAACCTCCCTCCCACCCCTTTTTTCTTCATATTATCTTTATTTTTTATTTCTTTATTGAGGCATACTTTTTTTTTTTTCAAATCAATATTTATTTACTGTGGCCCTGCTGTGTGGCCTGCAGGATTCTAGTTTCCTGACAAGGGATTGAACCCACGCCCTAAGCACTGGAAGCCAGGGAAGTCCCAAATGCAGTATAATTTATATATAATAAAATGCACATATATTAAGACTTCCCGGGGAGTCCAGTGGTTAAGGTTCCATGCTTCCAGTGCAGGGGTGCCAGGTTTGATCCCTGGTCAGGGAACTAAGCTCCCACATGCCCCGTGGGGCAGCCAAAAAATTTAAAAAAAATTTTTTTAATCACATAAGGATTGTTTAATGAATTTTTACAAAAGTCTAAAGAAATACAACCACAGCCAATCAAGTCATAGAACCTTCTCATCATCCCCAAATATTCACCTGCACTTCTTCATAGTCAATCTCCTCCCTTCACCCTTAGCCCCAGGGAAACTGCTCTGATTTATATTATTCTAGATTAATTTTCACTTTTCTAGAATTTCACATAAGTGGAACCATCCCATATGAACTCACTTGAGTCTGACTTCTTTTGCTGAATATAGTACATTTGAAATCTGGTGGTGGTACTGTGTATATCAGTTGTTCATTTGTTTTTTATTGTGGTAAAACATACATGACATAAGATTTACCATTTATTCATTTAGCTGTATACATATTTCATTGGCCCTATGTACATTCATGGTGCTGTGTACTTCTCACCACTATTTCCAGATCTTTTTTCATCCATCTTGAACTAAACCTCTGTACTTGTTAAGAAACAACTCTATATTTCTCCCTCCCCAGCCTCTACAACCTCTATTCAACTTTCTGTCTCTTTTGCCTCTTCTAGGTACCTCACATCAGTGGAATCATACAATATCTGTTCTTCTATATCTCGCTTATTTACTTAGTGTAATATTTTCAATGTTTATCCATGTTGAAGCCTGTGCCAGAATTTCATTTCAAGGCTGAATAATTCCATTTTGTGTAATTACACTGTTTACCCATTCATCTGTTGATAGACAAGTGGATATGTTCATTTCTTTTTATTGTTGAGTATTATTTCATTGTATGGCTATACAACAATTAGCTAATCTGTTCATTTGCTCATTTGTTGGACATCTGGATTATTTCCAAACTTTGGCTATTATGAATAAAGCCCTTGAATGGACGCATAATTCATTTCTCTTGGGTAAATACTTAAGAGTGCAACGGCTGAGTCATATTTTAGGTATAAATTTAGTCCATAAAGAATGGCCAAACTGCTTCAAAGTGGCAGGAAATTATCAGTGGATAAGGGTTCCACATTCTCCTCAGTTTTTAATTGTAGCCTGTCTAGTGGGTGCAGGGAAGTTCTAATTTGTATTTCCCTGATGAATACTCATGTTAGGCATCTTTTCATGGGCATATTGGCTATTTATCTTCTTTTGTGAATTATCTCTTCAAATCCTTTGCCATTAAAAAAAAGGGGGGGTGGCTTAATATCTACTTCTGCAATCAATATCTTCCAGACATTACGCTCACTCATGCTTGCAACTTGACGCGCTAAGTCCGCCCTGCACAGCGGCAGAAACTGAGTAAGACTTGGGGTGCCTAGAGAGCTCAACACAGATTGTAACCCGACGGCTAGGCCTTTCCTGGGCGTGGTCTGCGACGGACCTCTACGGCTCGCTCGCTCAGTGATTGGCTGAAGGAGCACTTCCGCAAGCACTTCCGAATTCCGACCCACCCCGAGCGTCGGTGGCTGACCGGGCTGGCCGAGCGCGAGTCCTCTCGGGAGTTGTAGTTCCTCAGGCCCCGCTGAGGACGCCGGGAAGAACCATTGGGCAGAGGCCAGCAGCGGCGGTTGTGAGTGGTCGCGGCCGCTGCCACCATGTCCCGCGTGTCGGTCCCCTGCCATGTGAAGGGCACCGTGGCCCTGCAGGTGGGCGACGTGCGGACCTCCCAAGGCCGGCCTGGTGTGCTGGTCATCGATGTCACCTTCCCCAGCGTCGCGCCCTTCGAGGTGAGCAAGCCCTGTGGGCGCGACCGGGGCTCCTGGGCGGGGCTTATCTGGGAACTCGGGCGTGTCCCAGGCAATGAATCGTTTGCTGAAAGCTTCTGCGGTACCTCGCCCATAATAATCAGTTAACCATTTCTTTATTCCTTTTGTTAACACATTAATTAGAATGCAGTTTCCTCTTGTGTTCACTTCAACATCTCTCCCCCATGTCCAGAACGGTGTTAACACGGAAGTGCCAGAATAGTAGGCTAGGTGCTCAAAATAACAGTTTTGAACCAAACAGAGGTGTGACGTGATTTTGTCCCTGGCCACTGGCTAGGTATCATTTGACAGTGAATTACCCCCATACCTGCTGCCTGCCCATTCCAACAGACCCTGCTGTTCAACTCAAACCTCATCAGGATCTTCCCAGTGGCTGCCGTTTCCAGACTCGTTACCATGAGTAACTGGACACCGCGGGACCTCAATACAGGACAAAGTCCACTTTCTAATGGCCTGATGTTCACAGCCACTTTGTGTCTTTGCCCTCCTCGCCTCTCGGCCCCACCCACTTTGTCCTGTAGTGTATGGTTCTTACTCAAGCTGTTCCTTTCTGTAGGCTAGGAGACTTCATTAAAGTGCCCAACCCTGGAAATCCTGATTCAGTAGGTCTGGGGTGGAGCCTGTACACCTATACTTTAAAAAATTTTTCCTTCAGTATTTTTTTTTTTTGGCTGCATCACGTGGCATGTGAAATCCTAGTTCCCTAACCAGCCGTAGCAGTGAGAGTGCTGAGTTCTAACCACTGGACCACCAGGGGATCCCCTCCTTGATTAATTCTGATGAATATCCAGTGATGAGAACTACTGTAACTAAACTGAACCACTCTCTGTCACAGGCCTGTGCCACGTTCGCTTCTTGGTGCTCCTTTGTATATGCTACTTTTATGTTTTCTACTCTCTGCCCGTCCACTTGAGGAACTCATCTGTACATTTTCTGACTCCTCTAGAGTTAGGTAGGGCTCTGACTTCTGGCAGCATCATGGACATGCAGCGAGACCTGAGATCATGGTTTGTTTGCACAATGTGCTTATTTAGACTGTGAGTTCTTCTAGGAAAGCAAAGCCCCCATGGGTACTTATTGAAATTGTTAGATTGGTAGAAGAGTCCATTCCTCAGTGGAGGAAGAGGTGGTGCTTTTGAAGCCCCTCCAGCCCTGGACCTTGGTCTGATTTGTTTGGGTGGGTTGTGTGTGCCCTAGTTGCAGGAGATCGTGTTTAAGAATTACTACACAGCCTTTTTGACCATCCGTGTTCGCCAGCACACCTCAACACACACTCCAGCCAAGTGGGTGACCTGCCTGCGGGATTACTGCCTGATGCCTGACCCGCACAGTGAGGAGGGAGCCCAGGAGTACGTATCGCTGTTCAAGCATCAGGTCAGCTGGGACTCAGCATGGTTAGGGCAGCCCAGATGAAGGCGCCCAAGCGGCCTGGGGACTGGGCCAGGATACATGCGCGAAGAGGGGTGGGCAAGGCTGGTCTGAGTTTTGGTTCTTTGGTAAGTGCCTTGGAGGAACTACCTTTCCTTATCCAAGGCCTGGGGAGAAGGCCCCTCGGCTCATTGCTGGTTGGCTCCTGGGCAGTGAGCTGGGGCCTCTCTGGGTCCTTGTGTGTGTGTGTGTGTGTCTGTGTGTTTATGTGTCAGATGCTGTGTGACATGGCCCAAGTCCTGGAACTGCGCCTGATTCTGCGGCAGCCATCACCACTGTGGTTGTCTTTCACGGTGGAGGAGCTTCAGATCTACCAGCAGGGACCAAAGGTGAGTGACCAGCTCAGAGCTGTTGGCTGGCCCTTTCTCCAGGGGGCTCCTAGCTATGGCTGGAAGGCCTGGGGGTGTGGGTGGCAGTGGGTGGGTAAGGATGGGAGACTCACAGGGAAATTAGCCAGGTGGGAATTCTGGAACCTCATGATGAGAGGTGAGGGCATGTCCTCATATTTCCTGATTTGGGGGGTTACTTGCCTCTATCATATCTGGAACTTTCATGGACCAGAATCTGCTTCTGACCCTTGTCTTCATGGGGCTTCCTTCTGCACAGCAGAAGAACTTGGGTAGTTTATGTGCCCTTGGGTCCTGAAAAGGATTTTCTCAGTGTCTGGGGCTCAGGGGCCCTTCTCTCTGTCGTCAGGACCTTGGGCTCTGGTTCCAGGGCTCTCCTACTGTGCCCTACTCAGGGCAGTACCCTTTGCTTTGCAGAGCCCTTCCATGACCTTCCCCAAGTGGCTGTCCCACCCAGTGCCTCGTGAACAGCCCACTCCCCTTCTTGAGGTAAGCCCTCGCCCTGGGTGAGAACCATGTGTGAACAGCTCTGGTGTCCAGCACAAGCCCAAGGGGACACCTTTCTGCAAGAATCTGGGGCTGGACCCAGGGCCCTTGGTTCACCCTGTGGGACCTCCCTTCTGGGATCTGAGGCATCTCTGTGTGGGGCTGGGCCGCCTACTGCACATCAGGCCCCATTGTCCTGTTTCACAAGTCATCTGGGAATGTCAGCTGGAGGGCCCCACAGCCCCGCTTGGCCTCTCTGGAGTTCTAAGGGCACTGCTGGGGAGAGACCCATGGCCACTGACCCCTCCTTCTGGAGCAGGGTCTCCCAGACCCCAGCAGGGTATCCTCCGAGGTCCAGCAGATGTGGGCGCTGACAGAGATGATCCGGGCCAGCCACACCTCCACAAGGATCGGCCGCTTTGACGTGAGTGATCGCTTCCCTCTGCGTGGCTCCCATTGGCCTGAGGGGGTCAGGTCTGATGGTCTTTTGTGTTGCAGGTGGATGGCTGTTATGACCTGAACTTGCTCTCCTACACTTGAGCTGTGGCTTGTCAAGACGTTGGCCGTCCATGCCCACCTAGGCCCAGTTTGGACCCCCATCAGAGGCTGAAGTGCTGTCCCCATGCATTCCAAGTGTTGCCTGCATGCGCCTTCTGTCAGGACCACGTTCACAGAGTCAAGATTCCTGGGGGCTCACTGTGTTGCTTTAGCATGAGCTCCTAGACGGGATGCACTCTGTCCTCAGCTGACTGCAACCTAAAACTCCTCCTTCTCCCTAAAAACAGTCCAGTTCTGTTACTAAGAATCCCTCTGTGCCCTCTGTTTCCCTGCCAAGCTGCACATTCCTGTCTTCTGCCTGCTCTCGCACCCCAGAGTGCAGCGGGCTAGGGTCACCTCCCAGAACCTTGGAAGTTGGCTATATTAATAGCTTGGAAGCTTGAGGAAGAAACAAGAATCCCGTTTCTTCCTTCTGCACCTCCTAATGGTCTCTCTCCCTTTGTGTTATGCCCACAAAAAGAAAAAATTCCTGTCTAAACCCTTCTGCTGCTCGCCTCGGGAGCCACACAGGGCTGGGAAGTGGGGCAGCCCGAGTCCCTTGGTCCCTGAGCTGGCTCCTGGATGTGTATTCAAATGCGTTTGTCCACCTATTGGGTGTGGGCAGGTGCCTCCGGCAAGGGTGGGACCTGAGAAGGAGTTCTGGGACTTGGCTGCCATCTGACGGAGCCCAAAGCACATCCTTACCCCCACTTATCTCACCCCCTGCCATGCTCAGTGTGATGAGGGATCAACCTTGGTGGGGAGGTGGGTCTGGGTGAGGGTTCTCAATGGTGTTTTTTGAGAAGCTGAGGTTTCCTACAACCCCAGGCCAGCAGCTGAATAAGACAGGCTGTTTTCTTATGAGAAAATCCTGCTTCTCTCTGGTTTTTCGTGGCTTGCTTCTGGGGGCTGTCGGGAGGCAGTTTGGCAATGTGTGTTGGACTTGGCCAACTGGATGTCTGTGTGGCTCAACAGCTTTCTGGGGGAAGCTCAGCCACCTTTTGTGGTTACCTGCTCTCCGCCATCAGAGTTCTTGCAGGTGGAATCTGCCTGCAGGGTCATTGACTTAGCCATATTCAGCTTTTGCTAAGAGGGTAATGATCACAGTCTTGTGCTCAGTGTGTGTGGGTGGGAGGGGGGAGGTCCCTGGGATGGCAGACCTCCTGCAGAGCCGTGTCCCCAGCACCGGGCCTAGGGTGCAGCAAGATCAATAAATACCTGTGGAATGCATCCCCGTGCTGGCTATCTGTGTTCACCCAGGGAGAGAGCAGGAGACCCTCCCAGGAGGCCAGGTTACAGTGGTATTCTGCCTGCCAGGCTGGCTCCACCCTCCTGTGCCCTCTCTACCCCTTCCCCTCCCCCCAGGTGACCTTACAGGCCTGTTGTCCCAAACTGGTGATTCAGGCCTTTCAGCCCTTTGCAGAACTTTGGCCCTTTGGAGGCAGGGCAGTCAGCCCGGGGAGGTCTAGCCCCCAGCTCTATTTCTGAGTGGCTTCACTGGCTCCGTATCTGCCCTGATCAGATGGAAGAAGCGCCCGGGGCTATTTCCCTGCAAGAGGAGTGAAGGCACTGTGTGCGCTAAAGCCCCGCCTGCCCTTGGGGCTGCCCACTCTCTCCTGTGATTCCCCCAGGGCGGGGGGAGAGAGACCTATTTAAGCAGGGCCCGGACTACATCTCCCAGCGTGCCTGGCAGAGTGGTGGCCTCTGTGCGTCGGCTGTACCAGTTGTGGGCAACCATGCAGCGGGCTGGGAGCGTGGTATCCCGTCTGGGCTCGCGGCTGCAAGCTCTCCCCTCGGCCCCATGCCGAGCGCTCAGTTGTGCGCAGGTGGGCCGGAGACTGCTGGGTTGTGTTGCCCATCTTGGAGGGTGGGGGAGGGGAGAGGGCTGGGGTCTGGGGCCTTGGTGGCACTGAGCCTGGCCGCCCGCAGGACGTGCTCCACAGGACACCGCTCTATGACTTCCACCTGGCCCACGGCGGGAAGATGGTGGCATTCGCGGGCTGGAGCCTGCCCGTCCAGTACCGGGATAGCCACGTGAATTCACACCTGCATACACGGCAGCACTGCTCGCTCTTTGACGTGTCCCACATGCTGCAGGTGAGCTGGGGGAGGGCGCCGACTGCCAAGCCTAGGGTCCTTGCCGTCCACAGTGCAACCCTTGGCTTTCTTTGCTGGGAGCTGGATGCCCAGGGCACCCCTCTCAGAAGAGTTGGAGGTCTCAAGGGTGTAATAATGGACTACGGCCAGACCAACTTAAGAGGGTCTCCTGCTCATCTGTCCGTCTCATCTCTCCAGCCTGCTCCCACTCAGGGGTACCTCAATGTCCCAGGGGTTTCTGGGGCTACCACTCATTGTCATCCACCGTTCTGGGTGTTGGTTTGGAAGAGGGGGTATATTAGGAGGGTGCCAGGCCCTTTCAAGTTCCCTAACCTCTCTCAATGCATCTCTTGAATTGGCAGATGTGGGGGAGTTAAAGGAGGGCTTCTGCCTCTTGCAGAACAAAAAGACTAGTCCGGCACTTTGGCTGAGTTGGACTGGGCTGTGGGGGGAGGGAAGGTGCTTCCTTGTCCATTGCCTTCCAGACTAGCTCTTGCAGTGACTTGATGCTTTTTGATCTCTTTCCCAGACCAAGATATTTGGCCGTGACCGGGTGAAGCTGATGGAGAGTCTAGTGGTTGGAGACATTGCAGAGCTGAAGCCAAACCAGGTGGGGCCTCTCTTTTATTTCTGCTCAGTGAGCGTCCTTAGATAGGACCCAGCAGACCCATCTGAGTCCTGGCTTCGGGCCTCGGGGCACAGAGCTGGAGCAGACATAGTTTCTCAGGACCTGTATTCTTGGGGGATGGAGTCCCTACGGGGCCTGGCTGACCCAGCTTGCTCCTTGCACCACCATCCCTCAGCCTTGCACATGAGGGTTTATGAGTCTGTGGTGGTGGGGTGGGGCCAGGGGTGGTCTGCCTCACACTTGACCTTGGCTTCTTGGAGCTGGAGGCAATGATGCTCCACTTTGGTGTTAGGGAACACTGTCGCTGTTTACCAACGAGGCTGGAGGCATCTTAGATGACTTGATTGTGACCAACGCCTCCGAGGGACACCTGTATGTGGTGTCCAATGCTGGCTGCAGGGAGAAGGACCTGACTCTCATGCAGGTACAGCCCCTCTATGTTGTGTTCTAGGTAGCCTGTCCTCCTTATTCACAGAGTTGCATCCTTGTCCAGGACAGACCTGGAATGGATAAGGGGTTCAGTGACTGTATGAAAGAAAGCAGGCCAGAGTGGGCCCTCCAGTGTTGAAGGAGTTGGGGGGCAAGTAGGGAGGTGAAGCTGATCCTGGCCGCTAAGTGAGCACCCTCTGGTGAAGGTGGAGGGCTGGGACCTGGTGTTAGAGCTTGCGAACCTGGGCTAGAGTCACCCCTACCATTTAGTAGTTATATGACTTTGGAAGATGAGAGCCCATTGTGCTGAGCTCAGGGAAAGGGATCCCGGAGCTAATGGGATATTTCTTTCCTTTCAGGACAAGGTTAGGGAGCTTCAGAACAAGGGCAGTGATGTGGCCCTGGAGGTGATGGATAATGCTCTGCTAGCCCTGCAAGGTAAGTGGGCCAGGCTGGGCTTGCAGCTGACCTTCGCCTTCCAGGTTTCCTCTACTGCTTGGCATGGAGGCCGTGCCGAGGGCAGGTGAGGGTGTTGCAACCTAATCCTATGTTTGGTTTCATGCCCTCCTTATACCTGCCACGAGGCTCTGTGGGCAGGAGCATCTTCCATCTACAGGGTGGGGCTTGCTCAGGGCTTGTTCTTGTCCCTGAGGGCTGTGATCCAGCTCCTTGGGCACTAAGACCCAGACACTTGGTTACTGGCTCCCTGGACCCAGGTCCCACTGCGGCCCAGGTGCTACAGGCTGGGGTGGCTGACGATCTGCAGAAACTGCCCTTCATGACCAGCGCTGTGATGGAGGTGTTTGGCGTGTCTGGCTGCCGCGTGACCCGCTGCGGCTACACAGGAGAGGACGGTGTGGAGGTTTGTCGAGAAGCGGGCATCAGGCGGTGCCGGGCACAGGACACTGGGGCCGGCTGCCTACCTGCTCTGTTTGGTGTCCCTGGCAGATCTCGGTGCCGGCAGCAGAGGCCGTCCACCTGGCAGCAGCTCTGTTGAAAAACCCTGAGGTGAAGCTGGCAGGACTGGCAGCCCGGGACAGCCTGCGCCTGGAGGCGGGCCTCTGCTTGTATGGGAATGACATTGACGAGCACACCACACCGGTGGAAGGCAGCCTGAGCTGGACGCTCGGTGAGCTGGGCTTGCACTCAGGGAGGGGATCCTGAAGGCTGGAGGGACCCTCAGTGAGACCAGCCAGCCCAGGACTGCTTCCAAGGCTGTGTAGCCTGGAGCAAGGGACACAGCCTCCCTGAGCCTTCATTCTCTGAAGGTACCACAGTGGCTTTGTCCAGTAGATGCCGAGGACTCTCAACAGAGGTGAGGTGGGCAGCACAGCCTTCAAGACCAGGGGGCAGGAGGTGGGTGACTAACTGCACTGCAGGGGAAGGAATCAGGTCTACAGGGAGCCTGAACGAAGGGGCTTTGATGCTGGATGGATGTTGTACATGCGGGCATGCTCAATTGTGTCTGGCTCTTTTGAGACCCTAAGGACTGTAGCCTGCCAGGCTCTTCTGTCGATGGAATTTTCCAGGCAAGAATACTGGAGAGGGTTCCATTTCCTACTTCAGGGCATCTTCCCGACCCTGGGATCAAACCCGCATCTCCTCTGTCTCCTGCACTGGCAAATGGATTCTTTACCACTGTGCCACCTGGGAAGCCCTGGAGGGATGTTACTTGGGACCTTCTGTGGTCAGAGGTCTGATGGACGGTGGCTTAAATCTGTTGTGTTACGCTCCAGGGAAGCGCCGCCGAGCTACTATGGACTTCCCAGGAGCCTCAGTCATTGTTCCCCAGCTGAAGAGCAAGGCACAGCGGAGGCGTGTGGGGTTAACGTGTGACGGGGCTCCTGTGCGGGCACAGAGTCCCATCCTGAGTCCAGAGGGTACCGTGATTGGTAGGTGGACCAGGGAGGCTGGAGAGCCTTGTCCCTCCCATAGGAGGGTGGGGGCCCTGGGCAAGCAGGGGGTGGTGTTGACACACGGCTTCCGCCTGGACAGGTGCTGTGACCAGTGGCTGCCCCTCACCCTGCCTGAAGAAGAATGTGGCGATGGGTTATGTGCCCTATGAGTACAGTCGGCCAGGCACCCCGCTGCTGGTAGAGGTGCGGCGAAAGCAGCAGCCGGCCGTGGTCAGCAAGATGCCCTTTGTGCCCACAAACTACTACATCCTTAAGTGAGGACTGGGGGACGGGGCCCTTCCTTCCAGGAGCCTCACACTGGAGGGCATTCTACCAGGGGTTAGTCAGGAAGCTAAGGCAGAAACACACCCAAGGTGGGTGGCTAGGTGGATGCTGGTTCTCCTCTGGGTGAGCGGGGACACACCACCCGTTGTTGCCTCATCCCGTTGCCACTATATCTTCAAGAGCGCATTTCTGAGTGATGGACTAGCCCATGTGCCATTGACCCCTCACTTGCCTGCTGCAGAAGATCGATTCTGGTATCTCATCCTTCCAAAAGGCTCACTTCAAGGGGGGAGAAAGCCTGCCCAACCTACCTCACCATGGTTTCTCACACTGCAGTGCCGGCTACCTCCTCTAGTTCACTGGCCATGAAGGCAAGCCGTTGCCTCTCCCCGGACAGAGATGTGATTCCTGACTCATAGAGGGTTGGCCCAGTAGGGCTGCGGGGCCCATGTGTAAACTCGGGGATGGCTGAGGCGGGCATGGATCCATTCTTTCACATTCTCCAGTTGGCACAGTCTGCTGCCCAGTAGCCAGCCACACCAGGCCAGGTTCACCAGCTGTTCTGAGCCCCAGGGCTGCTGTAGACAGGCTGGGCCTCCTCCCCGGCTTGCCTTATCCTGGGCTGACCTTCACCCCTGGGACTTATTATTGGACTCCACAGACTACTGAAAAAAAAAAAAATTAAATGAGCTTCCTTCCTTGTTCGCTAGAGTCTCTAGCTTCATTGTTCTCTGTCCACAGGCTTCCTGGGGTGCCAGTCTAATGCCGGCCTTCCTGGCTGAGGCTCGGAGTGGGTTCCCCTTGAGGCAGGCAGCTCTGTAAGAACTAAAGGGATGCCCCTATTGGGCACCATCACTGCTGGCAGGAAGCTGCCATCCCCTCTCCACCTCTGCAAGTCTGGGTGCTCAGGGGCAGCAGCTCCCAGGGTGTTCCCTCCCCAGTTTCCGCCATGCATGCACACTCCGTGCTGTCTGAATAACCACACAGTTGATGCACTTGCAGGTTTAATAAGCCACATCCTCAGTTGAGCCTGGGGTGAAATGTGAGACCGATTGTGAGTGTGCTGGTTGTCAGTGGGCGGGCCATCATCCCACCACCAGTCCTCAGGCACAAGCTCAGCACAGCCCTACTCCAGTGCACACTGCAAAGATGGCCTAGGCTGCCAGATGGCAACATGACATTTACCAGAGAGGAAGCAGGCAGTGGGACACTGAGGTAGCTGCTGGCCCAGCAGAAGCAGGCAGAAGTACGACCGGCAGGGAAGGAGGCAGGCCTGGGCCCACACTGCTCACCTGGAGCTCCTGTGGCCCACTGTGGAAGTGGCAGGGCTGCCGAGCGTACGGGCAAGATGAAGCTCTTCTGGTTCCGGGTAAAGATGGGGAGTGGGGAGGCTGCAGGGCACAATGGGGCTGCTCCGCACTAGCTGCTTAGTATGTCCCTATGACTGGTGGGGCACAGATCCACAACCCCATGGGCACTTAGGCAGTGGGGGTGGGAGGTCACCCCTGAGACTCACCCTCTTTTAGGTACCCAGCTTCCTTCCGGGAGGGATTAAGACGAGGATGAGTATGATGCTTGGGAAAAGAACTTACTAGAGCCCGACTCCCACCTGGAGAGGTCAGAGGAGGGTGTTTGGTGCCTCTATGTCTGGAGAGTGCCAGCTGCCCCATTTTATACTAGAATGGCCAGCTAAGTAGCCACAGAATATAAGGCCATGTCCAGACCAGGATTCCCTGGCTCCCTTCCAGCAATGCAAAACCAAAGAAATAGAGCAAACTCAAGGTTCAGGGGAAAACAGACCTGCCTGAAAAATCTCAGAGGTGGTCAACCTCAGGTTTCCTCTCAGGGGCAAATCTCTACAGGATCACATCCCGGGGGGATGGGAGGAGGAACAGGAAGAAGCCAAGACAGAAAATGGACTGTTGGCCTCCCCAACCGAAGAGGCTTCTGAGCTGACCCCTGAAAGGAGGAGGAGGTCTTCTCTCCTTAAGGCACCCAGATCAGGGTAGAAGCAAATTATTTACTGGCCCAATGCCTGGGGCTGCTGAAGGCAAGGCCAAGGGCAGTGGAGGCCCAGCCCTGCGAACACGGGTACACCCTGCCCCCAATCCCATCCCTTCTGCCATCATCCCTGGGGTCTGGGCAGCAACAGGACTCAGTATGGGAGCCAGCAGACCCGGTGATATCCCTGGAGACCCCTCTGCTGGCTTCCCTTATTCTCTGTGGGTTTTGAGAGGTTCATTTGCTGCTGTTTCCCTGAAAGTGACAGAAGAGAAGAGGAGTTATTCCATGGACAATACAACAGTCTACTTACGGGGGCTGAGCTTGGCTCAGTAAAGGCACACTATAACCTAGACCTCTCTGCTGAGCTTTTACAGCCCTCTGCGGTGGGAAAGGGTCCACCACCTTTCACCTGCAGGCTTATTCTTCCTCCTGCTTCTCCACTTAGCGCATGGTGCGCCCATCCTTCACCAGTTGCCAGGGACAGAAACCTGTGCAGTAGCAGGCCTCCTAATTGGCCTTGTGCCCTCTCTATTGGATAGGGTGTTCCAGGTTCCTCCATGCCTTCATGTTTAACCTCAGACGTCACAGCCTTGTCTATCCTTCCAATATGTCACCGTTGTTCTTGCCTCCGGGCGTTGTTCTGCCCTTTCTCTTTGGTACACCACCTCGCCTTTGCCCTCCATTTAAAAGGTGTCTGACTTGGACGACAGCTGCTCTGACAGCCTCACCTCTGCACTGTGGCCCGCCCTCCCTCCCTTTAAATCTCTAGCTCCCCCTCTGAGCAGGGCCTGGGTTGTTGTTCTTCTCTGGACCCAGTGGGGACCCTGCTATGTGGTAGGAGCTCAGAGATCACCTGAATGAATGGTCTGATTAGTGACTTCATGTTTTACACATGAGGAGCTGATCCTGAAGAGGCCAGTCGGGGCACTAAGGACAGAGGGTCCTGCCTTTCCAACTGAGGGGCTTACGGTGGAGTGGAATCCTCCAGACTTGCCACTTCATCTCTGAAATTGTGACAATAATGCCATCTGCCCCACAGGTTACTGAACAGGTTGTGGATGGGCTATTCAGACATCAGTGTCACAAAGCCTGAGGTCTGTTGCAGGCCCTGGAGTGTGTTGCGAACGCCACTAAGCTGGGGGACTCCTACCCTGAGAACTCCCTTCCCCTGTCCTCAGCTCAGGAGTGGCTTCTGCCCACTAAGTGCGTGAGGTAGAAATCAGAATAGATTTACTCACCAGGAAGGGAAATGCGTGGAGCCATCAGGTGTGGACCCGTTCTGGCCGCCCAGACCTGGGGGCAGGAACACATCCAGAAATGCAACAGGCTGGGGGTGGGTATCTGAGCAGGCATCAGCCCAGGTGAGTGGTATTGTTTGATGGACAGAGTAGTGGAAGCCCTAAGGGACTAGTGATATTGTCTGATGGGGGGTCCAAAGGAATTTATACGGGATGGGTGGACTGGTGGGGTTTCCGGTGTGAAATGATATGTTGACATGGGTCAGGGGTACAGCGTTGTGATAAGGTTCTCAAGGGATCAGTGGTAGTCTGGGGGGATTCAGGGGAACCCAAAGGTACAGTCTATGGCGGAGGGGGTGTGGCCGGCCCACGGAAGTTGGTGGGGAGTCTCACCTGGGCGGTGATACAGCCCGGTCACCGTACTCCCGTAGAACCCCCACGCCAGCTGGATGCTCAGAAGACTTAACACCAACCAAAGCAGCAGCAGCTTGAAGAGAGTCACGCGCATGTCTTGCGCCTCCCACTCCTGAAGGAACTCGCTGCCGAGGGCGCCCAGCGCGCCCAGGACCGTGGCCGGCAGAGCCTGCAAGGACTGCCCAGACCAAGGCTCCGCCATGACTGGCCGGCGCCTCACCCCGAGGACTGTCACCGTTGTCCCCACTGCGCAAGCGTCTGGTCTTCCGGGCCCAGGTCCGCTAGTGCGCACGCGTAACCTAGCGAGGCGCGTCTACCTCGCTTGCGCGAAGAGTTGGCAGTTTGGGGCGGAGTATCAAGACTGCGCACGCGCACCTGGCCCCACCCTGCTAACTTAAAGGATGAGTGACTCGAGGAGTATAAAATAGCAACCAGGTCTTTTATAGCCCCGGAGTTCCCGTGATGCCCCACGCGGCTGCAATGATTGGTTAAGCTCCTTGCCTTTAGGGTGTGGACGCGCTCCTGAGCAATCGTGGCTGAGCAGGGAGTGCGCGCGCGTGCGCGGGGCCGCGACTGGGGCCGGCTCGAGCCCGCTGGGCACGCGGGGACGCGCACGTCGCTCCCCGCCCTCCCGCCGCCGTCGCCGCCCGCTCTTGGTTTCTCGCGCTCCCCGCCCGTCGCTCTCCGTCGGTTGTCTCGTTAGTCACCCGCCGCCTCCTCAGCCACCCGCCGTAGTCTTCGAGCTTGCGACTCGCGGACAGGCGTCCTCGGCGCGGAGAGGTCGGACTCGGAGTCGTCGCCTGAGGTGAGTGAGGGGGTTCCCTCCTGGCGCCGCGGTGCCCCGGGCCCGCCCGCCCGGCACTCTTCCGGCCGCCCGCCGGCCGCCGCCCCGCCGCGGCCGCGCCCCACCTGCTGCTCTCGGCCGGCAGCACCAGGACCCTGGCCCCTGACCCCGACTCCAGGCCAGGGACTCAGGCCCGGCTTCCTAAAGCGGCGGCCCCGCCCGCGCAGTCCCCGGAAGCGCGCCCCGCGGCCTCCCGCGCCCCTTCCCCCGCCCGGCCAGGCCTGCTAGAGCCCTAGCCGCCCGCCCGCGGTCCCCGTCGCTTCCTCTCTTAGGGCCGCGCCGGGCAGGGCGGGGGCTCTGAGTCGGGCCCCACGACCAGCCGGGCAGCCGGCCCCTGTGAAGCGCGTGAGGCTGTCGGAGTTGAAATGGGAAAGAAACTCTTTACAACTCCATTTTGGCTTTTGCATTTAATATGAAATATGAATCACCGTTTTTAACTGCGAGAAGTCCAGTTATGTTTGGTGTATTTTCTTTTTTAATGCAGTATTCTTTGA